TGCCTTGCTACTGCAGCCTCAGTTTGTAGGACCTTTCCCTTCCATTGAAGACTGTACTTTCACCTCTGCCAATGTTACATGCTAAGGGCATGGCTCAGGACTCGGGGTGGCCTTTGGCCCTTAAGGGTTGTTAGCCACTTTTTCAGTCACCCTACTCTGTGTTGTAACTCATTGTCCAGCAGTTTATTATGCTAAACATCCCACAACGCTCAGAAGGGCCTCCCAGAAAATATCACCTGATTCAAAATATCAGAAATGCTGAAGTTGAGAACCCTGCAGAAGTGGGGGAACTTTTTTCTACTAACGGTCATTTGGATACTTATGACATCATTCACAGGCCATACAAAATTATCAATACAGGCAGACAGATAGCCTTGGACAGTTACAAGAACTATATGTCTGTCCTATTGTGTACCAAATGATTCTATGGACCAGATATTCCAAATCCCTGAAGTTTTAGAGTAAACTCCTCTTTCTTCCCCAAAGCAAAACATACTAACCAAACACTAAGCTACCACTCCAGCCAGATGAGACAATGAGTTGCTACTTTTTAATTTTAAAAAATGTTGAAACAATTACAATTTTTAAATAGTGTTTTGGAGATGCTATTGCTTGAAGTGTATCCTAAGTCTAAAATGCTTTGTGCAATTGATAAAAGTAATGTTGTTATTAGGCCAGGTACCACCAGTGGTTAATGCCTGTAATCTTAGCTACTTAGGAAGCTGAGATCTGAGGATTCAGGTTTAAATCTAAGGTGGGTAGGCAAAGCTGAAAGACTCTTATCTCCCACTAACCACCAAAAAGTTGTAAGTGAAGTTGTAGCTGAAGTGGTAGAGCAAAATTAGTCTTGAGTGAAAAAGCTAAGGGACATTGCTCATGCCCTATGGTCAAGCACACGCACAAAAAAGTAATGCTGCTGGATGGTCCATCCTGTGGAAGGAGTTGCAGAGCAAGTTCCATGAATCCTCGCTTCACTGCCATGGAGTAACCAGCCAGCCTTTTAGCTTAAGAGACTTGCCAAGGCAGACAGGGAGGTTATTGTTTTAAGAGGGATCTTAGAAAAGGCTATCTCGGCTAAACAGCTGTCAGGTATGTTTTTAAGCTTTTAGGACTCTTTGTTGGCATACTTCACTAGAAACAAACAAACAAAAAGCCCTGTGGATAAGGTGTTTCTATAGACTTAACTTACCTTCAACTCATTTTCCTTCCTAGGTGAAGGAGCTTGGCAAAAGGCTTGTAGTTTTGTAACTTAATGCTTATAAAAATAAGGTTTATTCCCAAGTTTAACTTTACTTTGTAGGCCAAAGATATCATGATGCTCCTGCCTGTATCCGACTCTGCAGAAGGTGGCTATGAGGAGTTAGCAAGGTATGAGTTGGCCTAGGACAGTGTGCATTACTGAACCCTCCCTTCCAAACATGTCAGTCCTTGTGTACATTACAATTCTGGACACGTGGCATCACCTCCCCTGAGAACAGACATGTGTATTATACCGTAGTGGATGCAGAGCAGGTGGGTACATTTAAAGGAACGAACCCCCCTAGCAAACAACTCTGTAGGACTTGGTACCACACTCAGAAACCCCCACCTCCAGAGTTTACACTTCACTTCAGCTTCTATGCTGCCCCTTCTGTCCCTGTCCATCCTTCCTCTATACCAGCAACCTGTGCAGCCACATGGAAAAGCTTATTTTCAATGATAGTTCTGTGCCCCAGTAGAGAGGAAGGAGGGAAGCCTTTTTGGTGCATCTCAGAAGTTAGAGGTTAGGTAAAGAAATGCCTAGTACTAAAGAGTGACCCGATCATTCAAGCTAACTGCTTTCTGCACCAGATTTCTCATTCAACACCATGGTGGCAGAGTCTCATGGTGTGTGTCAGGCCACAACTCTCCCTACTGGAAACCCTCTAAGGCCGTCCTCCACATACATGCTCAGTATACAGCCTGAAACATCTGCTCTCTCTGGTCACTTTTCAAATGACTGTTCCTTATCCACATTTAAGAGTCTTGATAACAATTCAAAGGAACTGTCCTTATTTACATAGTCAAGAACAAACACAAGAACAAAATCAGAATCCCAAAGCTTTTTTCAACCAAGTACCAACTTTTCCCTTATGAAATGTCTCTTCCAGTCAAAATAAAGGCAGTTGATTCTTAGCATTGAATTCTTGCTAGTCAGTGTTATAATAAAATCACAGTTAACTAAATATCCTAGTTGTCTAAAATCTTCTTTCCTGGTTCTGAGTCACATTTCATAGGAACTTCACAGTAAGACAGGAATCAGTGTAACTACATATAAAACATTGTGACCCCCATCCCACTACCAATTTGCAGATACTAGCCGGCAAAGCAGCAACACCCAGAGGAGTAGGCAGGTCCACAAATAGAAAGGGCACATTTTCAAACAGATTTAAAAAGAAATCAGAGGGAAAAGATCATAAACTACTTTGAGAATTGCTAATTATATGACATTCAAGTTTTATTTACCCCATTGTCTGTTTTTTTTTTTAAGTCTCGACTGCAGCTTTTATGATATAATGTTGAGGTCAAAAAGTTGAGGCAGAAGTTGAAAAACAAATGGCTTGAAAAATTAACCATCTGGGGGCTGGGAAGTTGGCTCAGTGGTAGAGCACTTGCCTTGCATGCTCGAGGCCCTGGTTTCGATTCCTCAGCACCACATAAGAAAAAAGCCGGAAGTGGCACTGTGGCTCAAGTGGTAGAACGCTAGCCTTGAGCTGAAGAGCTGAGGGACAGCGCCCAGGCCCAGAGTTCAGGCCCCACGACCGGACCCCCCGCCCCCCCCCAAAAATTAACCATCTGGCCCTTTATCGGAAAAGTCTGCTGACTACTACCTTGGCACATGCCAAGTTCACACCTATGCGGCATTTGCTGTTGTCTCTATGTGGAAATCACCCAACCCCTTGGCCAGCTCCAGTTGTCTTTAGGCTTGGCTAATGTCACTTTCTATAAGTACTGTCTTGAATATTCTTGTCTATAGTAACCTAGCACAACTTTATATATTTCCTTAGCTGAAGCTATTCTCTTACGAGCTTTCTAAGAAAAGCAAGCTCCTAAAGGTGATGTCACCTGTGTGCTCACATCATGCTTGCTACTTTGCTTCCTTCCCCCCCCCCACTCCCATCTCCTCCTCTTTTCTTTTTTTCTTTCCTTGCCTTAAGAAAGAAAAAGAAAAAGAGAAAGAGAGAAAGAGGGAGGGAGGGAGGGAGGGAGAAGAAGAGGGAGGGGGGGAGAGAGAACTGCATTTACTCTCTGCTAGTCACATAAATTAAGCCACTCTACACTCACACCTACCTCTTGTCACCTAGGCTCTAAGAAGAAACCGTCCTGTCTTTGGGCAATCCAGTATAGTTTGTAAGATGTTAAAACAAGCAAGCAGATAAAATCTGTTGTTCTTCTCAAATGTTTAAGAGGCTATATATAACAACTAAGTCAGAGTGTAAGTTAAGAACAGGATGTGTTTCGTGCCAAAAGGAAGAAGGAAAACACAGCACCAAACAGCTTCCGGGCATGAGGGGACAGACAGGTGCCCAGTGCCTGCTCTTATCCTCCTACTCTAGTCAAGCGAGTATCAAGAGCTTGGCATGCCAATGGCGTTAAGGACCCATTAAAACATAACCTATTATCTATAAATAGGAAGGTCTTTGGAACACTAATTAAAAATAACAGTCTGGCATTTAGTAATGCCTATAAACAAGCAGAATCTAAGAACAGAAGTAAATAGCAACAGTTGTGCATTTTATATAGTCAGGTGTCTTCCCTGGAGTTTCTTCATTTTTTTTCTGAATTTTAAAATGTATAATAATTTCCATTTTACCTTTTAATTAATATGGAACTGGCTGTTTCCAATTTACCCCATTTTATGACTATAAAATCCATTACAATATTTCATTTAACCCAATGAATCTAAACTATCACTTCAACAATACTGTAACAAATATGGAGAAATTATTGAGGCATTTCACTCTTTTATACAATGTCTTCAATATACATTTGTTCATTTTATATCTCCATTTAAAATAACTACATTGCAAGTGTTCAATCCCTACAGGTAGCTAATGGCTATTATACTGGTCTATACTGTATAAAAATGTTCAAAATTATTTTCAACTGAATATAAAACAATATTTTCTGCATTTTAAAAGTAGTACATAAGAGATTTCTCCTTTAAATGCTTGTGCTTTACTTTAAATGATTACATTAACTATTTTATTATTTTATACTTTTTAAACGTGGACTTCATCTTGGATTCATACTGCATTCTTTCCAATAAGCTAAAAAATATTAAGGACCACATCATATTGCTTTCCCACAAGCATCCAATTTTACTTTTCAAACCACGACTGCTACGTTCAGTTTTCATTTCCTTTACACATGGTTTCTTTCCTGTCCTAACTGAATACAACCAAGACACTCCAAGACATGAGCCAAGTTTCCTTAATGTCTAACAGGATGGCGCCACCATAAGTGGGCAAGATGAGTTTAATTTAAAAACATTACACTCTGGGAGCTGGGTGCTCGTGGCTGATGCCTGTAATCCTAGCTACTCAGGGAGGCTGAGACCGGGGGATTGTGTTTCAAAGCGAGCCTGGGCAGGAAAGTCCCTGAGATTCTTATCGCCAATCAACCAGCAAAAATCCAGAAGTAGAGCTATGGCTCAAATGGTGGAACATTAGCCTTGAGCAAAACAAAAACAACAACAACAACAACAACAAAAAAGCCCAACTCTTCCACAGCCCACTTTGCCTGGTCACTCTTTTAGATGTATGATCTTTATGAATCAGTAAAATGGAAAGTGTAGGGACCTGGTAGAACAGCACAGCCTGGGAAGCAGTTTACTTTCCTAGAGCTCAGTTCTTCACACAGAAAGCAAACATATGGGATTTTTGCAAATGGAAATAGTGGTTTCCATTAGGTTTGGGATTGCATCAGGATCACCATCCTTTCCATTAGAGAGGATCCATCTTCCCTCTGGCTTTAGTTACCTCTGCATCCTGCTTGTGGAGGTTGTACGTCCGCTGAAGGCTTTGCAGAGTTCGCAAGTTCAGGGTCTTCTGCTGTAAGAGATGCTCCAGAAGCAAGATCAGTTGGTCTGGAAGAAGCTGAGGACAAAGCAAAATAACCTATGAAAGTGCTGACGAGAAATTAAACCCAACTTTAGAGGAAAGTCATGGTAACATGGTATTTTCAAAATGTATCTGAACACCAAAAATACCCGAGTGCAGACTTTCATAAAAACTCAGGTTTAATATTATCTGTATCCCTAAACACAATGCATTTGGGGGCTTGCGTAAGTCTTATTTTTGATGGTTTTCATTTCAGGTCTATACTTAGGTACTTGTGCTAATGAAACATCACTGTGGTTTATGAGATCCTTGCCTTTATGACACAAACTCATTCAGCATAGACTCATTCAGTGATTCAGGAAGCCACCCAATTTCAGGCAAACGTGGAAGTTAACCAAAAATAGCAGTTTCAGATTTCTTTCTGAACTATATTAACCCTGAAAACATGCCTGCTGTACACCAAGAAATAAAAGGCACAAATTAATTACTATGTCTCATAATCTGTCCATTATACAAATTCTACACTTATAATACACTAAAAATTTAAAATGTTACTCATTACTATACATATACCAACATACACATATAAACACTCAGTTGTCTATATTCCTGAATTTTTACAAAGGACAGATCAAAAATGGCTCAAAAGGCACAGAGGAAAAAAATCCTTTTGTGGTACAAAAGTAAAATCAATCTTGAACAAAAAGTATTTGTGAAACCATCAATTCACTATCATGCAACAGGGGTCAACCCATGATACTTCCTTGTGTGGCACCATTACATTAGTCCTAGTACCCTAGAACTAGAATATGTTTATATGAAAACTAAGGTTTCAAGCCAGGGGTACTGGCAAAACACTGTAGTATTAGTGGCTCCAGAGGGGCAGAGGTTCAAAGCCCAAGGAAAATTCTGGCAAGAGCAGGAGACCCAATTCAAAAATTAAACTGAAGTAAAAAGGGCTGAGGGTATGGCTCATAGGAAAGAGCCTGACCTACCTAGCTGAAGCTAAATTCAAGCTGCAGTTCAGAAAAAAAAAAACCCACAAGATTTTAAAATTATCATTATGAATTCAACTATTCTTTACATGTATCTTCCTTCTATCCCTACTTATGCCCAGGTAATCTTTACCAGTGAATGCAAATTTACAAATCTAGAAGCCAGTACTGAATCAATAGAATATTCATAAGAACACCTGGATTTTAATTGCACTTTGTTACTCAAAAGAAAAATTTCCATTATTATTTCTCTACCTATTCCACTTTGCTTTCTGTGCCCAAATATGCACTCTTCCTGACCCTCCATGCCTCATTCCCACACTCACACACATGTGCCACACTGAATGCACATGCACACTCATATACACACAGAGGAGCATGCAGGAAAACTGACCGATAACATATACACCACTCACTGCGTAACTCCTCAAAGATGGCATTTCTTACATTTCTCATCTTACCCTTCTAAATTTTAACAACCCCCCCTTCCACAGACAGGCATACAAGTACACATCACTTGGTTCTGGTGTCTACTTATTTGTATCACTCATCTCAGTCATGCTGTGGACAGTCTCTGACTGATAAGGAAAAACTTTGGGTATTTTTAGGAAAATTACAATGTGATTTGGACTGACCAATGAGGTCCTAATTGAGGACTAAAGAATGACATTAACAATTTTTTTCTTGAGATGTCATGTTCCTATAGGATGTTTTAAATATACCAACTTATTATATAACAACTTGCAACAAAATCACTAATTTATCTTTTTCCTATCATTTAAACATAAGCCAATTTTATGATATTAGGAGAGACCTTCTATTTTATAGATCAGGCCAATCCCAGGATTCTCATCAGCTCTAGGGAGCTAGCTTTCCCTTGTTCATACCAGGGAACCTCTTTGGTATATGTGGGATGGGCAGTGCTGCTGGCCATCCAGAAGTGGAGGCCTTTCTCATTGGCTTCTCCTGTCTTGGCTCCAGCTTCTTTTGCTTAGTTCCAATCCATAGCTAGCACTGTTCCAAGGAAGGCCTTTTTCAGCTCGAAGCTGAATCTTCTTCAGCCCATGGCCTTCAGCATACCCTCAACTATTTTAACACCATATTTCTAAAACCCTCCTGTGTTTGGACTATCCTCATAGTTGCCTTCACTTTCTCCACAGTCAAGGCCTCCCCCCAATCCACCCTGCTAATTCTGAAGTGCCCCACTGTGACCTACTCTGGTTCCCCTATGGAACAGCCCACCTACTTCTCAAGGGCTGGGGCTGAGGGGACAGACATAAAACTCCCAGCAACATTTGGATGTAAGGGAATCCCAGATTGGGTCAGAGTGCCCAGCAGGCTCATGCTGAGGCCCTTCCAGATAGGCTTCTGGGAAAGGGCCAGCCAACAGAAGCCTCTTGGCACAAACAAGCATGATCTGGCACAGGGTGCCCATGGGCCTGGGACAGGACTATGTCTGCTAACTAAATGTAGCAGAGCCAGCTGTGCCGACTTGCAGAATTACAGGGGAAGGAAGAATAGAAAGAAAAGTGTCTCCCTCTATGCTCTCAAAAAAATCTATTGTTAGAATTCGGTTTAAGATTTGGTTTTAACTAAAGACATCCACAGAGGAAAAGGATTCTTGAGCAAGAAAACTAGCTTGGTCCTTAACTTACTCCAACTGTATTCAACCAACAAACACAACTCCAGTTTAAAAATCCAAGAGCTGCTAATATGTGAGCCCATCAAAATGCCTGGGTTCATACTTGCAGGTTTCTTCCAAGCAGTAAGTTCACACGTCTGCATACAGAAATAGACTGAATGGATCACTGAAAGCTTTTGTTCTCTCAACTGTTATGCAATGGAAATATTTAGAGCTAAGCCCCCTGACTTAAGACAGCTAAGTTGAAAGGGAGAGAGGGAGTACATATGTTGTCAAATCTTCAGCGTTCTTTCCTTCAGAATTTAAAGACTAATTGGAGGGAGAAAAAAAAAAAAAACATGGTGCAATCCCACCCCCCACCCCCCTGCGCAAGGTATCTAGTTCTCCTTCAGTAAGATGCCAAAAACTGCAAGAGGCAACTTGTTCAGGGTAGGCAGATCACAGCAAGGACCAGCACACCCACGCTGCAAACATTCCTCCATAATGCTCCGAGATTTCAACTGGTCTGGCTTCTTAAAATGGACTTGTAGAAACAACTCTCACTTAATAAAAAATCTATGGCCACCTGCCTTTCAATTGTAACTTTAATTCGTTTTGGGAGGGAGAGAAGTTTTATATATATATATATATATATAAAATTAGTGTCTGAGCAATGAAAAAAAAAGAACAGTGATCTAATGTCACTTTAGGGCACAAACAATAAAACTAATAAAGTAGCCTTTATTCACAAGTAAATGCTAAATTGTTTTTTCAAGTAAGATTATATACTTTGAAAAGAGGATATTAAAGTAAAAATGTGATGGGTAACTACACTTCAATATAGCACATTTCTCTACAAAATAGACATGTGCTCCCTGTAAAGCCACCCTACAGTGACAAAGAAAATATATAATAAGCCAAAATGTTTGTAAAGCAACTGAAAGACACATTCTAGCAAATGTGCTCCAGCCGCCTAGGCAGGGAGACCCGCCCTGGCAGCTGGCACAGAGGGAGTGGGAAATATGGGGATCATTCCACTCCCACCCACGTAGAAACCAAATTTCACATGACTTCTGGGCCAACTATGTTTTAATGCAGCAGTACTGTAGGACACAGATTTGCCTTTACAGACCAAGAAAAATAAAGTATAAATCTCAGAGCATTATCTCCTAAGAAAACAATATATTAACAGTTAAAATTACAGAAAAGAACCTGCCTTTACTTTGAAGGGTCTAAGCATGTTTGTTGTATGTATCCACACTTCAGCAGTGACAGGAATAGAAAATCTTTTCCTTCTCACAAACAATAGATGCATGACTAGGTTATTTCTTCCATATGGGGACCAGCTCAATATTTCAGAATACATCTGCCTTGGAAACGTAGACAAAATAAGACTGTAGGGTGCCAAAGTCACATGGGCACTTGAAAGGGGACTGGGCAGGATTGCACTGCTTACTCGAATGAACACAAGAAACAATATGCTGAAGGAGGTCAGTCAAGTACAAATGCTATTTGTTAAGGATTTTAGAAGTCTGCCGTCTTGCCATAAACATAGAAGATTTGACAGTTGTTAATTACTGAGAAATGTACAAAGACAAGTCTACTTTTTCCCCGGGCAACTTAATAGTAGAGGCAAGCTACATAACTTTAGATTTTAAAAGTTTCTACACAGATTCTTGGAAGGAAAATTTAAATTTTCTAAACCCACCCTCCTAACATAGAAGCAGCATAAAGAAAACAAACCCTGACTTTTCCAGAAACCCTTAATGCTGTCACGGGAACATCACTCACTGAGATCCCAGAAGACCACCCATGCAACCAAGGCCCTCCACTGTCTCTTCTGTCAGTATACAATGCAGAAAGATGTAGAAAGGGCAGCTCACCTCTGAGATCAGAAATGCCAGAAAGGTCTCATGACTGACTTCCCCAGGCAGGACCTGTGACCGGGACAAACATCCAAGCCCCATGGGCTATAGTCCTCCATAGGTACATTCTTTGCGCTGCAGCCGTGCACAAGGAAGGAAGTCACTGTGTGGCTCCAGATGGAATGTACCGGAGACTAATGCAGCCACCGATCGACAGTGGCGTGAGTTCTATTATTACCCCATTATCACTCTGGGATCTGTGCCTAAATGAAGCATGCTTCCTCCCTGATGCCATTTCCTTTTATCCTGGCTGGAGACTAAAAGCAGATCAATGGGGCAATACATATGATGTCACTTCAATTTACAGTGACAGCCTTCCCCTCCTAAAGTCTGTCTGAAAAACAGAGAAAGATCAATTCTTCCCAAAAATGGTTAAAAAATGCTTAGGGAGTATTCATCTTCCAGAAAAGCATTCTCTGCTATATTTGTCTATGTTACTACGGCAGGAACTGTTTACAAGGAACAAAAACAGAAGAAATGGGGGAGGGAGAAAAA